CTACACCCCGAGACACAGACACTGCGTAACCGCTACACCCCGAGACACAGACACTGCGTAACCACTACACCGAGACACAGACACTGCGTAACCACTACACCGAGACACAGACACTGCGTAACCACTACACCGAGACACAGACACTGCGTAACCGCTACACCCCGAGACACAGACACTGCGTAACCGCTACACCCCGAGACACAGACACTGCATAACCGCTACACCCTGAGACACTGCGTAACCACTACACCCTGAGACACAGACATTGTGCAACTCTACACACCAGGCACCTCTACACCATGAGAGGAGAGAGACAGCAGGGTTCAGCTTCTGTTGTGCAGCAGTCTGGCACGTTTCAGGATTTACAAAATACTAGAAAGACCAATTTCACTATTTCTACTTCTCTCTGTCCATTTATATCTATAAGATATCTATAGTGTTTCTATTTAGTTGAAATAATATTGCAGTCACAAACTCTCCATGTTCCTGGTGTCGGCTCTCCATGCTGGAGCCCTGCAGCTGCTAAAAGCCGGAGTGGATCAGACCGCTACACAACTGATGATGGAAGTCTTGTGGATTCTACATAGCTCTTTTTTCAAATTGTGGTTATCTTAGCTTAAGCATCGTGCTCGGTGTATATCTGCACTCCAGACACCCGACGCAGAAAGAGCAGTCGGCTGCCGACAGGGCTGTACTGCATCACTCCAGTGCACAGACCTCCCTTCACAGAATGTCTTCTGAAGTTTATTTTCTTACATCCTCCAAGTTTTCAACATTTTCCAGAACAGCCCTTGGGCTTCCATCCATATCAATTACCGTGAGGAGTTTTATACAGTTTATTATTATTAAATTACTTGGCTGAGTCGTCCTGTTTTTTCCTCCTGTTCCTACATCTGCAAACCACTGGACTGGTGATGAAACAGAGGGACTGGAGGAAGCCGACGGAGAGCCTTGCTCTAGGGGAATAACAGCTGTGCCCCTCCTAGGACTTGAACCTGCAACCTTCCATTAGGAGTGCAGACCTCTAATCACCCCCCTCCCACACACACAGACTTTGCTCTGCTGCCAGGACCCCCACAGTGATTCCCATTACATCAATCAACACCCAGACCTTTCCTACTTCAGTAATCTATTAAAATAAAATGCAGCTGGGGTTTGTACATTTTCACCTAAAGTCAGCCTAAAAGAGCTCCAGAACGGTCTGAAATATGGTTAACCTTTAATCAATGTCAATATCTCTGTGCTGGGAATACTCTGAAATGTTAACTGCGCTTAAGAAAATAAACGACGCGAAAGCGCTTTTAACGGAAAGGCTTGGCGAAATGTTGACCAATTCCCTTTCGTGAGCTGTTCTTTCTTCGTTAACCAGTAAATATGAAAACGGCTCTTGACACACTGAAACGCCCTTGCCTCTGGTGAACAGCTGCTGCCCCGTGTTTCGACACGGCTAGGTTATACACAGAGTCCGGGGTCCGAGCCTCGGGTCGTCACGTCCTGTCCCGGACTGTTTCCAGGCTCTGCCGGGGCCGTTATGAACACGGACAGGCGACCCGAGGAAAACAACGTGAAAACCAGCTGCTGGGCGGCGAGGGTCGACGGGACCAGCTTTCCTCGACGGCAATCGCGGCCTGTAATTAAACTCCAACTAAACCGCTTCCCGAGGGGGGGGCATGCACGTGCTCCACGTGGGGACAGGTTCCGGGTTCCGGGTTCGGTGGGGATCACCGCTGTCCTTAGACCCCGTCGAGGGCACGGCTCGGCATCTCTTAACTGCTGCTAACTTAACAAGCTTTGTGCGAAAACCTGAACTTTGCGTCCTTCATCTGTGGGACTGTGTGCTACGGACCTGGGCTGTTCACCCCTCGGGCACTCTAACGGGCTGCCCGCGGGTGTTTATTCCGGAACTTCCGGCGAGCGCGCCGAGGTGACCGCAGGTAGACCCGGTCACTTCTCAACACCCAATTCAGTTCAATTCAAGGTGCTTTATTTAGCATGACCGATGGGTACAGTCAATGTTGCCAACACCCTCTCAGCCGGATCTGTGTCGGACCTGCTTGGAGACAGTTTGCAAAAACTGAAGTTACTTCGTAACACTTTTCAAGGGGAATGCTCTTCGGAATAATGACGAATCGGACATACGTTTCCTTTTATCGGACAGGAGTCGTGCCGTTCGTAGATTTAAGCTGTTTTAAAAATATATACTTGTCCAACCATACTAAGATGTAAAAATGTGTCTGTTGCGTTCTGTGGTGATTTAAAGCAAAACGTTGTAAAAAAATATCCTGGAGAACATTTTTTTCAATAAGATCTTTAAAACTATATTCATACAATTGACAAAATTAACCGGGATAAGAACTGGTTCCCTGGCGCAACTGGGAATGAAGTATAAAATAATCTTGCAATTATAACATACAGAGTTATAGACCACAAAGCCCACGGACACCGCGGTCCGCGCGCCCGGGTGTAAAGACCCTGCAGGTTTAAATGGCGCGTGCTGTGAACGGCCCTATAAACGCGAGACACTGTCGCTACAGATTTGTAAAAATATTATACTTTGTGAGCGCAGCCAGCACGCAGGGCTCCTCGTGAAACCAACTTTGATCTTGTGCGTCTTTGCAGATCAAATTCAAAAAAGACTTCGACCAAATTCCGGACTGGACCAGCATGACTGATGTAGTTTAGTGTGGAGAAGTGCAGAGTGTCACGTCCTTCTCTAGCCTCTAATCTGCTTCAGGGTCTCGGGGAGCCAGAGCCCAAGACAGGGTACAGCCAGGACTACACTCAGACAGGCACAGGCACACGCACAACAGGGCCAGTTTTCACAGAAGCCAACTAACCTACCAGCATGCTTATGGTCTGTGGGAGAAAACCAGAGCACCCAGAGGAAACACCCAGACTCCACACAGACAGCACCTTGGGGACTGAACTCAGGGCCCCAGCCCTGCGAGGCAGCAGTGCTGACAGTGTCATGTAGGCAGCAAAGTAGAAACTACAGGTGAGAAGCACTGAGCTTGAAGAAGGTACTTCTGAAAAAAGATTGAGGTGTCGATATTAACACACCATCTTCGTCCTCTAGATGATGTGAGGAAAGAATTAAAAAGACAAACAGAATGTGAGGATATATAGTTAATGGCATAGAGTTAGAATCACCAGAAAGACTGTGTTTAGGATATTGTGTGCAGTCGTGCTCATCAGACACCGGTCCAGAGATCAGCAAACAGACCCTCCCGGGATCCCAGAAACCTTCCACTCTGATGGGCTGAAAGCACTGAATCTCTTCAGTCTTGTGTAGAGAGGACTTTGTATAAGATGCCTGATTCAATTATTCAGACTCTTCCAAAGCTTCTTGAAGTCAAGCCATCGGACTGGACTTCTTCAGAATCAACAGAGAAACGCGCCTGCTACCCCAGTGGAGTTGACAGGGAAATGGTTTGAAAACGGAGATCAAGCTGCCCAGACATGAAGTTGAACCTGTACCCTTGTTTGTTTAAAGACACCACTGACTGAGATTGTGGGATCAATTAGGTACTGGAAAGCTGCAGTAGCTGTTCTAAAGGTCTGAGCACGAGTCGCTGTGGACGAGTGGGCGAGCCTGTCCTGGGAACAGATTTCAGCGAGAGGAGGGGACCCGGCACCGAGCCGCCGAGGCCAGGCAGACGGGAGTTGCGGCGCTAAGGGAGCGGCCAGCTTAGTCATAGCGCCGCGCTCTCACCATCCCGACTTCACACCTGGTAGCGAAACCAGCAGGGCCGTAGCTCACTCGCTGGAATAATTCTAGCGTTAGTTCTCGCCGCTTTGGGGCGCCTGCTGTTACTACACCGTGCTGTCAGGAATACTCTGCGTTTAATTCGCCGGGATTAAGTCATTTTGACAGAAGAAACGTGTCGCATCTGGAGTTCTCTCTTCTGTACCTGCAGCCCCGTAGCTGAGTGCTCGAGGGGTCCGAACCCGCGACTCTGCCCGGGCGGGCTGTGCACCAGCACCGAGCCTGCAGCCGGCTCGCTTTTCAGTTTTTTCGCGTTTTTAGTGACAGTGTAACAAGGCAGTTTCTTAAAATCAGTTAAAAAAAAACAATTCAAAATCTATCGATAGCACTAGACATACCCTCATGGATTTGTCAGTTTTTTGCAAAGTATTTCGAATTACCGCTGCAGTGGGGAAAGAGGGGAAAGAGTTGTCAGTGAGACTGTCACTCGCTTCACGATCACTGAGCAGTTCCGACTGCCGCACAATAAACTTCTACCTCTCCCAACCAACTCCCCAATCTTCAAGACGGTGAGTTAGAAATAGGGTAAAAGTGACAAATGCAACCATTGAAACAAACTTTGTCCAGCAAGCGACCGGAGGAGAGACGTGTCAGATCCCCGAGGCGCTCTCAGGTATGAAACACCATGTGCCCGGACACAAACTTCAACTTCCAACGCGAGGTTCTCAGCCAAGAAATACACAGAAAGAAATATATTCAAAAAAAAACAAAAGACTTACCTTCTTTGGTCTGTAGACTATTAAATACATTATTAATAAATACAATTACAAATACTAGATGCCTAATCCCGAAGGAATCCATTTTCTGTAAGTCCTCTGAAGTTACTGTGCGGACCGAGCTGCTCGGGTTGTAACTCGGCTGAAGCTCTGGCTGCTCCGGGCTCTCATTCAGGAATAGCTGACGTCACGGAGCCCCGCCCATTGGAATGCGCCCGTGTTCCATGTCAGGGAGGGGGTTACAGGTCTGGAGCGAGGTGGCTGTGTCAGGCCGACAGCCCTGCATGGGAGGGCAGCATGTGTTTACGGACTGTCCAAAAGGAAGTTTATGAATGAAGCAAAGCCAATCGTCCCATTTAGCTCTTTGTTGCTAGTAGCTCATTGATCCCAGGAACTTATCCAGCCTATTTTCTGGAAGAATCCACAGGATTAAATTCAGCAACATGGCTGGGCAGCTTGTTCCACACTCCCACATCCCTTTGTGTAAAAAAGAGCCTGCATTAAAGGTTTCCATCTGGGACCTCCGGTTCGTGTTTTACTGCTGGGTGTGAGAAGCTCAGGGTGCTGTTTTGAGCAGTTTCTCTCTGCCCAGCAGGGGAGGTTTATTGCAGCAGTGGCAGTGAAGACTTGTTCACCCCAGAGCCCTGAGCACACCTGCCCCTGCTCACAGATCAGTAAGAACAGATACAGAGCAGAAGGGGCTGTTGGGCCACCAGCCTGTAAACTGACCCCAGGCATTTCAGTAACCAGCACTCTGGGCGTAAGGCAGAGTTGTGTCTTCCTTTCTTTCTCTGTCTTTTTAAACTCATAATGCACAGGTACAACAACAAAGGAAATATGTTTTAATTCCCCAGGACTGTTTAAACATGCCAGACAGAGCTCCTGTCATAAAGTAAGTTAGCTCAATCTAATAACCCTGGAGTTTAAATGCAGACACTCACTGTACAGTAAATTGTTTTCTGCTTTGTTGCCAGCTGGCAGTACAAATAGATCATTTATTGTTGGTGTTTTTGTGAGCATAAGAACAGTTACAAATGACAGGAAGCCATTCTGCTCTGATAGTCTGTTTGATAGTTAGCATCAAATTGATCTGAGGATCTCATCCAGCTGTCCATGAAAGAAATCAGAGTATCAGGGCTTCAACCACAGGACAGGGCAGCTTGTTCCACACTTCCACTCCCCTTTGTGTAAATTACTGGTCACTCTGCTCTCCAGGCTGGTCACTCTGCACTCCAGGCTGGTCAGTCTGGGCTCCAGGCTGGTCACTCTGTGCTCCAGGCTGGTCTGTCTGCGCTCTTGCCTGGTCACTCTGTGCTCCAGGCTGGTCTGTCTGCGCTCTTGCCTGGTCACTCTGTGCTCCAGGCTGGTCAGTCTGCGCTCCGGGCTGGTCTCTCTGCACTCCAGGCTGGTCAGTCTGCGCTCTTGCCTGGTCACTCTG